TAGGTGTTGTGGTGGGCAACTGTCGTCTCAGCTACTGGGAGGCTGAGACAAAAGGATCACTTGAGCCCAAGAATTTGAGATTGCTGTGAGCTGTGATGTCACAGTTCTCTACAGAGGGTGACAAAGTGAGACTCTGTCTCAAAAAAAAATTTTGCACTTATTTCTTAGAAATGTTTTTATTATTGATAAATACTTAACAACACAGAGAAATAGATTTTTGAAGGAATGTTTTAATTAATGATTCACAAATATTTTTAAGTGGCTTTATTGACTACCCAGATACTTCTTCCTTACATTGAAATTCTCACCTGGAGGACATTATGATTAGTAATATCTTCACAGTCATCAGATTTATTGCATAAACTTCTCCATCCTGGTGCAAAAGGATTAACTAGAGAGGAAAATAATGATAGGTTCACAAGAGGATTCTAAAAAGTTCCAAACGTTTCAATAAAGCTCCAAATGGTGAACTCAGTATGCATGCAGGCATGCATTTAATCCAGCTATATAATCCTAGTAATAAAGTAAGGTGCCCGATTTGAATAATTTATACATGATGATTTCACTCCATCTGGGGGCTAACGTAAGTAACTACAAGACTTTAAAATAAAGAAATGTGGTAATTCGGTTTGGTTACTCCTTTTTATTAAGTTCTAAAAAATATAATTTAAAATTCTCTGAGAAGTTATGAGTGAAATATTAGCTCCATAGTTAAAAGCTATCTTAATAAAATGATAATGATTTCAAAACGTTAATATAGCATATGTGAAGGTAAATAATTAGTGTGTTTATTTTCAAAACCATAACCAGGCTACAACCAACTATATAAGTGGTTAACAAACATTTAAGACCTATTATTTATAAGATATCATATTAATATGGTAATTAATTTGTAATCTATCATGGTTCAGGACTAAATTCATAAAGAAATGCTAAAAAAAGTTTACCTTGAAAGGCTATAAATAGCTCGTGTATGAGGCCACGTTCTGGAATTTCCACAGAATGACATTTATATGACGGTTCTATGACATGGCATGATAAATCAGACATTAGATTATCCAAGATTTTCTTTAGCACTCTAAAGAGAAGGTCATTATATCTTCCTACACAAGACTTCGTGGTAAAACGTACAGCCATCTGATATGAATAATCAGGTTCTCGATAGGCTTGAAAAAAGATGAGGATAAGAACAATTGTGCCAAGTAATAATAATTTTCTCTACCAAACAATTTTCAAATAATGTGTAATAGATCCCATTAATCTTGCAAATAAGCAGAAAAACT